GGTGAACGTAAAGTGCTTCTGTGATGCATGCATGCACAAAATTCAAAATAACACAAATGCCCTTCTCCATTTGGAAGCACCATTCAGTATATTCCTCACGCTGCAAAAACAGCATGTTCTTGATTGCCACACCACACCGAGAAACAACATGTCAATCAAGTTCAACAGCTATACTCATGTTCTTCGAAGTGGTCCTGCTGGTAACCGACAGGAGTCCGAACCCCAGTTGCATTTCACTGCGTTTGCCTTGGGCGCCGCATCCCGTGGGCCGCACCTGATGATCCAGCTTCCTTCGATCCGGATGGTTCAGCATCATTGGGACAATGACAGCTTCGCGATCACAGAGCTGACCTCAGAATATGCGCGAAGAATCTCGGGAAGCAAGATAAACAACCACACAAAAAGGGAAATTGCAGCTTGCTTCTTTGCTCACTCCCAAACAAAAAACATACCTTTTTCTGAGCCCTCATCCTTCGACCTGACCAAACCATCAAGATCCCACACGGAGACTCCAATCCATAAACCGGGACCGAAGCTGATGCAGCTTGGAATAGAAACCGGGTAGATCGGGTAGATCGGGTAGTAGTTAGACTCACTGTTCCGGGCGCTGAAGAACATCGATTGCTGCATTGCATGGCATATGGTGTCCTCCCCTAACGCGTGATGAAATCTCACAGGTTAACTGAAACCCTTCCCAAACCTCAGAGTCCTTCCCACCATCATTATCCAACTCTGTCACGCCAGGCAACGAAAGGCATCCTGAGGATGCTTGGCACAAACATCACGAAGACTGCTGGGTGAGACCTGCAGGCCGCGAGTAGATCTGGCCAGCACTCTGCTTTGCACTGAGTGCTGTGCACATACCAATCTTGCTTCCAGGAAGTCCTCAGGAAGGTTTTGTTTTGAAGAATAGTTGTTTCCATGAACTTCAGAATCACTTCCCTGCTTAAAAAGCAGGGGATGCCAAGCACCCTTGGAGTGGGACTTGGAACTGAGCAAGGTCTCTAGACTCCAAGAGGAATCACCGCTACAAAGTTACCACACTTCCTGTGGAATCTTCTGAGAGCTGAAAGGGGCCGCTTGAGAGCAACCATGTTGGGTTGGTTCTTAGTGAGGAAATGCCTGGTATACGGACTTTAAAAATTTCTTGGTGTGTGTGCGTGGGGACTGTGGGGCCAAAAAAAATCCAAAGATCCGCAACAACGATGCATAAGGTGCACACAACGACTTGTGGGCTCGCTTGGGCTACCCAACCATCCAAAGTGTTGCTACCTTGATCACTACAATTTCTGAGCCCTCCCGTTGCCCGAATTTTATTTCCCAATCTGTCTCAAAAACGTGGAGTATCGGGAAGAAACAACTACGCAAGATCACCCAGGCTATCTGTTGGACATCTCTTCGCACCCAATGGACCTGAGGCTGGTGACCTAGGACCCCAGCCTGGGACCGGACAGCTGAATGTGAGGAAGGTAGGCTGAAACTGGGATGAACTCCTGAAAAATGAGAGCAGAAGTGGCCGGAAATAGTGAGTGGTGAAACCTTGGAGTTCCCCATAGTGGATATTGTTGGGTGGTTGAATCAAGTGGAGAATTGACTAATACTGTATCTGTTGCTGGGGGGGGGTCTTGGAGAGGGACTCCACGAAGACCACACATTCTGGACTACTTGGAAAATGCAACTATTTGTTTGAACCAGTGTTGTACAGCTTAAGAAGATGCTAAACCAGGCAGTGGATGTTACACTCAACCTGTATATAAATGCACGACTTGCCATCTTGATGTTGTAAATTCACTTTGACGCCTCCGATATCCTTTGATCAATGGACCTTCGTTGCGCTGTTTTTTCTGCAAAAATTTCTGGTTCAGATGTCCCGGAGTCCTAGGTGCTCGGTGTATTAGCAATATTTTTCGGGCAAAACATTGAATTTGATATCCAAACGCACGTAGCGCAAGTGCTGGGAAACCAGACGCCATATATACGAACTTATGACAGCTGTAGAAACGCTTGAAAGAATTCAAAGCATCCACAGTGGGTCAATATTGCCTCTGTACACGCTCAACTTGCGCCACTCCTCACCCAGCAATATAAAAACAAAAAGCATTGTTTACTTTCAACTGTCCTTCAACTGTTCCTGCTACATTGTGCTATATGCTTCGGAACGTCGGAAAGTCACGCCGGCAAAACTGTGCAACCAACCCCACTCAAACAAGATCTGATACACGTGACCACTGGTTGACACGAATGAGTAGCCTTTGTGGGCAGATTTGGCTCAAACTCGTCCAGCAAGAAAACTGCATTGTGGCTGCTATGAGGGCATCGAACATGAAGCGTGCCAGTCTCTCAGCATCTCTGCGCATGGTGCTACATGATAAGCATATCCGATCTTGAAGAGAAGCCAATTGAGTTGAGACTTTGTGTATGGAAAGCACCACGCAAGACTGGCACTTCGGAGGCCGCAGCCTAGAGCTTCCAATTAATTCAATGATATATATATATATGTATATAGGCAACTGCACATGGACTTCCACGGCCCTCACGCGCAGCCATCCATTAGAATATCTGTCAAAGATCCTTATGGCCACAAGAAGTTGCTCTCCACACCCACGCTGAACTTCAACATATCTCGACACATCTTGTCCATCACCTGGGCCGACAAGGTACAACATGGTCGACATGCCGCGTCACTTAAGAATGCAGTGCTTGTTGCTGTACGCAGTTCCAGTGGTGGATCCGATGTACAGCATGGCCTCTGTGACCGTTCACGCGATGTGGTGTTGAAACCCTTATACTTCTGGCAGTCATCATTGACGATGCGACAGGCCTGTACACGCACCAGCGCTGATGGGCTCAAGTCTCGAGCAACACACCGCCCAAGCCACCTGTCAAGATGCCATCCTTGGGTCCGGCAATGGAATAGACCCAGTGGAACTCATGTGCGCGTGTTCACGTGGATACTGTTTGAAATTCATCTTCCAAGCCTTATCAGCAAAAGCTATTAACATAAAATGTCAAGCAAACATGTGAACGCAGTTGATTATAGACTCTTTTGACTGCATATTGAGTAGAGTCTGCCAAAAGGGACAAACGCTTGCTCATGCATCTTACCGATGAGCTTCGCCCGAGGAAGCTCCTGACCAACAAAGTCCCGACTGACATTCCGTGTGATTGTGGCTCTGCATCTTCATAAGGAAAGACTTTCTCCGGTTCGGGCTCTTTATCGTCGTCCAAGATCTTCACCCAAGCCCATCAAGGAAGCTCTGTGTTCGATAATTCAGCAAGACTGTCTCCACGGAAACTGGTTGAGACATGTCGTGGTTTGATGTAGCAAAGGTTCTAGGTTGTTTTAGGTGAAATCACACGAAAACGTGCCGTATCAAGGGAAGTTTCCGTGCTTCAATTGCATCAGCGTGGGGCCCTCTATTTCCTTGCAGGTCTCCTCCGCCATCTGAGAAAGCACCATGCCGACCAAGAACGTTGAGAATTGAGAATGTCAAGCGCCACATGATGAGATCAGTGCACAATTCTATGGTCTAACTCTCGAGCCGTGAATGCTAACTGAGCCCCGACCTATACTTTCTGCAGGTGGCAGTCACAGCGCTTCAACCAAGCATACTCAGGGTGAGTGGAAAGCTTGCGAGGGGAGGCCCGTTGCTGGTTGTTTCCACAAGTAGATTGCATCCATGCAAAATCAAGTGGGAGTATACATCACCCCAAAGCCGGGCCAAAGTTGGCCAATCTTGCCGCTTGCCTCAGTACATGCTGAACTTGTGCCATTCATCCCCCAGTAGTGTCACATTGGAAAGCATTTTTTCCTTCCTCTGTACTTAGGCTACTTTCAAATGTTCTTCAACTGCTCCTGCTACATTGTGCTCCATGCTTCGGAACGTCGCCAAGCCCACTTAAACAAGATCTGATACACTTGACCACTAATATCCGTGTTTCACTTGACCACTCTGATACTCTCACCCGGATCCGCTGGTCCTTGTGCCCTCAGCCGCTCCCAATCAATGACCGCGGCTGGACGCATGGCGCCGTGGGCGTGTTTTCACGCCACGGTGTCTTGGTCAAACGCTGTCGTCAGCGCCTCTCTACAACTATAAGGCAATCATCGCAATCTTTATTTGGGGTATTCAATGATTCAATATGTACCATCAAATAAGCATGGCTTGCAAAGGAACAGGCTACTACGTCAAATAACACATACAAAGGTAGCAATCTCACTGTTATCAGCAAATACTGTATTTGGTTTTCTATTTTCTATCTACCTGGGGCCAAAGGGGGAAGGCGGCCATTGTTTACATGATTACCTTGCTGAAACTGCCAGCAGTAGAAGCTTTCTTGATGCCATTTTGACAGGCCACATCCATTGCGTGCATGGTGTGGCTTCAGAGAGGAAACCGACTGTTCGTACCACCTGGGAAAGTATAGCTTGGCAGGAAGTAAATAAATGGTCATTAGTGCCCTCCCGCCGTCATCTCCCCTTAAGATTCAATATCCTACTCAGGCAAGCTGTTAGATCCTCGCTGCTTATCAATTGATGCTTTACAGTTCTGATGAGTCCCCTCTCTCTATGCATTTTTTGGCCCTGCTATAGATGTCTCACTTAGTGAAAACCATTATGTGCAACTTTGCTTCTGTCGAAAGGCTTCACACAAATTCTGCCTCTCGTACATGACATCAAAATACCACTGCTTTGATTTGGGATCTTGATGGCAAGGACAACGCCTAATAGTGCAGTTGCATAAGGGTTGCCAAGGTAGAAGCAGTCATACCCAGAAATGTGCATGGGTGGGTGATATTAGAGCCAACACGAGGGGAAAAGTAGGGGATTCCTGTAGCAGGGCCCCCTGCATCTAGGCCAGCATGTTGATAGTGATATGACATGATATGACCCTGTGTGGATAGACTACCTTCTGACCTGCGGATGATTACGTCTGACCATCGCAGACCAGCAATTGTCCTATTCCCGAAGGAACCCAGAACGCTCACGCCAATTGCACCTGTTGCTGGACCATGGCCTTATCACCAGCGCGATGGCCCCAATCCACGCAGGTGGCATAGGCGATAATGATCGAAGGTCCTTGGAAGAAATGGCTGGTCTGAATTGAACCCTCCGGATGAAGCCAAACCGAATCCTCAGTCACCAACGTCAAGACTCTTTACAAACCAATTCCTGCACCACCTCACATCCGTGGAAGGCCCAAACAAAAGCCAAGAAACAGATGCCAAATGACTCCACCGAGCACCCCTATCACCCTGAGTCTCATTGACTCCCATGCTAAAGGTCCAAAACTAGCAAGGCAATGAGGGTCAAAGGCTTCTATTCGAGTGAGAATTGTACACACTCATAGACTGATTCTCCGAGCAGCAATCAAGCAAAGAAACTCAGCTAGAACAGCGAGTCAAAGGGGGTGAAGTATCAGTGCCAATAGTCCACAGCCCCGACATGCACAGTATATGAAATCACCCCCCCTTCATTGTCAGGGTTTGGTGCTTTTATAGGCGTCATAGTCATAAAATAGCATAAACCCTGTGAAATGAGATTGCCAGAATTCGCCTGTAAAATACTCAATCAAGTAAAACCAAAACAGATCTATGACATGGGTAAGATGGATTTCAAGATATTCATCGTGGCTTAGCCCGAAAAAGTGACCATGGTCGATTCCAGTTTCTTTGCAAAGAAGAATACGCACAGTTTATAAAATGTACTGGCATGGATTCTGATGCAAAGTTAGTAGGACATATCAAACTCATGGCCCTGGCAGGATCGCAGCGTTAAAGGCAACAAATCTATATTTGTATATCATATACAATAATATATATATATGTATATATTGACAGAATAGACCTGCCTCTTTCAACCTGGCTCCATATCTCTCTTGTCCCTAAAAGTAAGTACAGCCTAAGGATAATGTGATTTCTGAGGGGAAATGCTGGCACGGGATGAAATGAACTAGAGCAGTTGCCAGTTTCTGTAGGTCTTTGTTTGCAACCTAACACCCAATGATTTTTGTTCTGTTAAGGGCATCGCTACTAGGAGCAAAAGGCATCGCTACTAGGAGCAGGGACGCTACTAGGGGCTCCTGGCCTTACTACTAGTAACAAGAAGCTACTAGGAACAACCAATGACCGAGCTTCCGGGATAGGCCTCGGCTTCTTTGAAGGCCTTGACAGTCTGATTCACGTCCGCGGACAAGGACACCGAGGCCACATAAGCATTTTCATGCATCATGGCCTAAGATACTGCGAAGGTGGAAGTGATGCCAGTGGTGAGAAAGCGAGAAAGCGGAGTGGGGGTTTGTCGAAACCGTGTTAGTTTGTTGTTTTTTGATCACCATAATTTACTGCAACTCGACCAACGGGTGGCTCGTTTCAGTGATTCCGGACTAGTCATTGACCGACCTCAGATCCAAAAGTGAGCATGGTAAGGCACGCGTGGCCGGAGCAGGTCCGGATCATTGTGATCGATCGCACGCGTGGGATCTTGGGTGGAAGCAACCCTGAGTGGATCCACTTGCAACTTACTGCCACAGCTAGGAACAAAGGGAACAAAGGACTGAACACCTAGTCGCAAGACCTGGTTTCTAATAACTTATAACTTGTAACTTATGACCTCAACAAAGCTGCATTTTGGGCAATTGGTACTCAAACCAGGGTGAAACAAATTCTGACCATAGATCTACTAGGATTTGCTTGGGAACGAGCTACAAAGGGGTCCACATTCCCAAGGTCCAACTGCCCAAGCTTTTCCTTTGGCCTGATAAAAACAACTTGCAAGCTGTTTACGCAAACCAGTTTGCATAAGTTTAACACACATTCATCCAAAGTTCTATAGACAACTGCTGACACTCAGTCTCCACTAGTCACTTGTTGGATCTATGTATATATATATATTGTAGATATGAAAAAAGCACTGAATACCAAATACACAAAACATGACAAAAACAAATGTGACACTCCCATGCTTTGCCTCTGTTTCAGGCTTCAGGACTGTCTTCACAGGGATTCCGTATGGGTGACCCATGGTCTTCACGACTTTCATGCATGGATGTCTTCAGAAGAACAGCAAAGTGAGCACCTTCTAATGGCAAAAGTAGGAGCTTCGACAGGTCCACAAAACGTTGCGAACCCCACATAAACTAAGTGTGAGCCCCCACAAGCTCCACGACCACAATGACGCTTTGCAAAGCATTGACTGAACATCCAAAAACCTATTAAATCTGCATTGAACACACCTGCACTCTTCACCCAGAAACGCTGCGACGCGCGATGCTGCCGTCGGCCAGTAAGTGCCGAGAGGCAATGGCGCCCAAGTCCTTCTTCTTTGCCCTGTTGCCACCCGCCGACATCTTCATCGTGGCACCCTGCCGCTGCGGATCCCGTGCTGGGAATTCTTTTTGCAGAAACCACGAACCGAAAGGGTAGCAGCAAGTAAAGGTTGCCCTCTCAAACACACAGCATGCCATGCATGCTGCATGACTATATCGAGTAGCTGGATAGGTGGGAGCCCTCTTTAGGCTAACTCTAGGCCATGGGAAGCAGGGGCGGAGTGAGAAAAAGAAACGATGCATGGCCGTGGGTATCGCACAGGCAATTCTGAGCATGTGTATTGAAAAAACTCTGAGCCAGCACAAGTTCCACAGGGAGGAGGACCTTTGGTGGCAAGGGGGGGGCAGCAACATGAGAATTCTCTATCATGTTCTGAGAGTAGGATACATAGAAACGTCCAGGGCAGCAAATCAAAAAGGATCTAAGAAGCAAGACGATGGTTTGGAATTCTGGGTGAGAGGAAACAAAGAAAAACACTTTCTTGCATCTGGGTTAATTAATCCTTCGGGTTGATAAGCCAAAATTTGAGAGATGAAGAGAGCCTTAGAGAAGTTGAACTAAGTTGAGAGCAGTTTAGTTTGGAGAACCACATAGCTCTCAATCCGTCTGAACTGCTCAAAGTGGCCCAAAGATGTGTTGAGTCTGAATTCTTTTGTCTTGTTTCATCCAGAGTCCTATTAAATTAAATATAGCGCCTATTACCGATTGTGCTTATTAGCGCTCTGGTGGTTCAGAGTGAAATGACATCTACTCTCAAAGCTTTTGCTGCTTGCCCATTGCCGCCACGGCTTCTCCCCTATAAAGGTTGGATCATGAGGCATTCCCGTGCGACACTACGATTTTGCCATATGAGTGCCGGATAAAATCTGTCGTCCAGCCTACGGACATAGCCTTGAACATGGGTCGGCCCCCATCGGTTATGCGGGTGTTGTGGGTTTGAGGAGCACTAATCTTGCGAAGCAGAATAAGCGACTTTGAACTGAACATGGGTCAGAGTCATGAAATCTAGAAACTGCCTGTCTGTTGTGTGTGCGCTCCTCCAGTAACGAAACAACCAAGACAAACACACACACACATACAAAAACAAACGGCATCCCCAAACGTCCCCAAACACTATGATATCTGGATCTACAAGAATGATACCTTCATGTATCTAGATCATCTGGATCTGCTGTCATCATCCAACCCCCCGCTGTGATGGCTTGCCTTGGGGGTGGCTTTCGAATTCTGAGCACCAGTATTGCCTCACAAGGCAGAAGCAAAGCGAGAAGCGAACACGAGCCCAGCAAACAAGGAAACCAGCACCGAACACGACCACTCAACACAACACGACCACTTGATTATACCATTCACATCCCACCTCACCTAGGTCCTAGGTATCTGCTGACTCTGATTGAAGTGAACAGCTTAGTCGACAGCACTCAGTCCCAGTTGGTGAACTCCTTGGGGTTCGGCTCTCAGTAAGTACTGCACTGTCGGACTCTTCACTCGGGAGAGAAGCAGTCGCCCGTTGATCAGGGAAGAAACATGCGGAAGCAGTCTTCCACGTTCCCGTTGTTGCCTCCACTTCCTCCACGAAGATTCAAGATTCTTAAAAAAGAAAACTGCGCTCCAATGGATCAGCAACGGATAACCGGATAACCCAGAGTTCCCAGCTGAGGCTGGCTCCTGTGATGATCTAACTGCCCGGCCTTCACGAGGGAAATGAAATCGAGACAATGCTAAACACTTCACCACTTGCCACCCAGGGGCTGTAGCCCTCCGTGTCCAGGACAAGAACGTTGATGTTCTGACCTGAAAGCAGGGTCTCAAACAAGAAAAATACAATACTGTAAAAGAGGCATGTCTCCTTCACAAGTGCAGGACATGCCATGCATAAATGCATTCATCGAAGACATAGTCTGGGTAGTTCCTGTTGTGGGTCCAAGCACTTGTTTCACACGCAAAGAGCGCCAAGTCTAATGCAAAAAGGATTGGATTTCCAACGATTTATCAGAACATGTCCATGAACAGAAGTGCATGTTGAGAAGTCTAGAAAGGACAGAAACAGCATGGACAAACTGTCAATACTTGCTCCCTCCCTGAGTCACTGAGGTTTATGGTTGCATTGCATTGTGTAATTACGAAGTGTACGACTTCAGAATTATCGCTGCAGAACTGTCACACTTGCAGACTGTCCCCATGACTTGTATCTTGCAAGCCGTAATGCATCTCTCGCAAGCCATGCCATATTTATCAACATGCGCCACCATACCCGAGTAAGCTTCATCCGATTAAACCAGCTGTTGGTAATTGCTGAAACATGCTGAAACCATCACACAAAATATGCACCCGTGCAGAATCCCAGAGCCCGTACCACAGTTGGAAGAACCGTTTGCTGTAAGGCGGTCCCACCGTCTAGCAGCAAAAGCATGCAAAAGCTTCCACCCGGCTACCTTTGTAAGTAGGAAGTTATTTGTCTCTTGAAGCCACCGACTCCTTGCACAGCGTTCTTTCCAATTCAAGATCTTATACCTTCACTTTCACTTAACGATATGTCCACATCTTCACATGTCACAACAATCTCACCCCCATTTCCCTCACAGGTGGCTTTCTCGGACCACTTTCTCACTTCCAGGCTACCAGTGGCCAAAACGTGGTCCAAACCGCCAAAGCCGATGTCGTACGCCCATCCGTCACCGCCGATGATCCAATGGGACGGGGCAACCAGCAGGTCCTACTCGCTGCCGTTGGTGACGGTCGGAGGTGTCAAGGCGATGCCAGGATCTACTAGTACCAGTAGCGTCCTTGCTCCTAGTAGTCAGGCCAGGAACCCCTGGTAGCTTCTTGCTCCTAGTAGCGATGCCAGGAGCCCCTAGTAACGTCCTTGCTCCTAGTAGCCGATTTTGAGCCAAACCGAATTGGACAACCCAATGGCATCACATAACCAGCCGTTGATCTGCCTACATTCCAGGGGTATCCCCTCGCCCTTCTTCCAATCCCACCAATCTGAATCAACCCTCAGTTGGCTACAACAACGCGCGAGCAGTCAGGTGACAAGGAGGACGAGTCTGGGCACTGGGGTGGTTGGTGGAGCCCAGCAGACTTGAAAGCATGACACAATAGACGCCGAATGCAAGCCTTCGAGTTGGCAGGGGGTATGACATGTCTTGACCCTTGCGTTTGTTCGGAGTGACACCCGTAGTGTCTTGTCTTATAGTGGACCGAAGCGCAAGTCAAGACTAGGTCGCTTGGTCATTTCACGCGTTAACTTAGTAAACTTAGGGTTGTTTCATAATGTTTCATAGATTCTCTCTTGGGCAAGGCCTGCAACACTCAAATGCTTAAGGGAGCGAGCTTTGACCCAGCATGCCTTGCCTTCCTGTCACACTGTAGGTCACCCATTAACAGTTACTGGTAGCCCACAATAGCCCATCTGTGTTCCATCGGAGGTATATCTCTGATCTCGCGATGGGTCCGTCCCACGTCCGACCCTCCCATCGCTCCGAACCACGCTTGACAGCGCCCAAGGCCACTGGAGAGTCGGAGGTCTCTGGCTCCTTCAGGTGGGGAACGCACTTGTGATCCTTGCTCCTAGTAGCGTCCTTGTTCCTGGTAGTAAGGCCAGGAGCTACTAGTAGCGTCCTTCCTCCTAGTATCAAGGCCAGGAGTCCGTAGTAGCTTCTTGCTCCTAGGACTCCTAGGTATGAAATGCCTTAGAAGTCTTGGATAGTCTTGGTATAGTTTTCGGATCCTCACAGCCAGAGTTGCCAGAGTTGCAGTGGACGAAACAAATCCTGCTTTGTAGGAAGGAGACCCCCAGATTTGCTTTTGTTTTTCATACCTGTTTCCCAGTTTCTTTCGGTCATCTGAGCATCCCCTTGCTCCCGGCTTGAGTTCAGAAGAGCTTGCAAAACACAGGTAGACCGCTAGGCAGACCTGATTTGTCAATAATTATTGGACGCTCCAGGCTAGTTTTGATACATGATGAGTTCATGTTCATCTATACTCCACATCAGGAACTTGGTTGAATGCTGGTTCGGTCGGTCTCTGGAACCACTGGTGACGTCCGCAGGACTTATGAAACCGTCGTGCAAACGATCAGTTTGGAACATGAACATGCCCCAATGCTGGGGCGATTCCATTACTTCATGCCGCAACCCGGCAAACCAAGTGAAGTGCTTGATAGGATGATGAACCTGACGCTGAAACCAAAGCCTCTTCGGCACTTTGGGATTCCCATTCTCCTTGGCCAGCGCAGCCTTCAACGGGCCTTGCAAGACCTTGGCACATTGCAGTTCGCGTAGAGTGACCAGTGGAACGAGAACAATTCTGTAAGGGGACATCCAAACACACAGCACCGAACCAGGGGGGTTCCCGCAGGCTCGTATCTAAACCATAAAAAAAACCACACGTGGTTGTTGGATCTGAATCTTTCTCCCCCTGGTGTCCTGCTTAGGATACACACAGCCTTTCTTGCAGTTGGAGGTGCAATTCTATAAAATTAATAGATAGGAACGCAATGGTGGTGGAGAAAAGCATCCTGCGGGGGTTCCAAAGGAGTAGTTTCTGACTAGGGATGCACACTATCCACTCACTTGGCGTGCTTGAGGTATTGTTGGCAACGACGACCAAGAACAATTTATCCGCATCTTTGGCCTTTTCCATCCTTTTCTGTGTCTGTTTTGTTCCTTGTTGTTGCTGCTTCCGGTGCCGGTGTTTTCCTCCTGAGGTGAAAGAATGTCTCCCTGCCGTGTTGCAGTGCATTTCTCCGCATCCTCGGCCACCTCTATCCACCTGGCTGGACGCGGGGGCTTGGACGATTGGGCGATGTTGGTGCTCCCATTCTCGTGACATGCCCCAATTATCCCCAATTGCTTCTTGCTCCTAGTACAGTAGTAAGAATGCTACTAGTAGCGATGCCCTTTGTTCCTAGCAGCTTCTTGTTCCTAGTCGCGATGCCCTCTCAAAAATCCAATTGACTCTCGGCCCAACTGGGCCACTCAGCAACTGTCTGTATAGAATGATTGATTTACAGGGCCAATCAAACTTCGAGAATAGTGGAGTTCCAAAGAATCCTGCTGGAATCCTTCCTGTCAAAAACATAGTTCTATTTGTATAATTAATTCAATAACTAACAACAGATCAAGTTAATGCCAGTGTCCACTTCGACCAAGTGCAAACAATTTTAGATTTTAGACCATTTTAGACCTCTAGCACCTCTCATCAGACAGTCTTCACCCCAGATCTGGGGCTCGTGGGCTCGCAGAGCCTCAGAGCGGCTCGATGCGGCTCGCACCTCTCCATCAGGTTTTGCAACTCGGTGGAGACAGAGGCGCCTGAAGACACCTTCCGTCACAAATGTTGCATGGACCCGGGACCTAAAGGTTGCGAACCAGGGTCTTCTGTGTATTTTTTGAACTCAAATCTTCAAACAGGACAGGAGTTCATGGCAGCATGCAAAAGGCAACATAATAAGGCAACTAGGAGCAAGAATGCTACTAGGGGCTCCTGGCCTTACTACTGGGAGCAAGAAGCTGCTAGGAGCAAAGCGCATCGCTATTAGGAGCATCCTTGCTTTCTTTTCTTTCCTTTTCGGCTCTCGGTATCCCTCGGCCCTTCCTTCCCTTTCGTCCCATCACCAGTGTCCGGCCTCCTCCAGCAGTTCCTTCACGTCCGCGACCAGGCGTTCACGACGTTGCTGGGATCCCAAAGCCATGCCCAAACCGTACTCCGCGGTGTCCTGGCGAAACCCTTGCAAGGTGGGTGGTTTTGTCATGTTTTGTCGACTGTGAGGGGAGTAGAGAACTATGAAGAACCACACCTCAAGCATCTTGTGTTCTCTTCCCGGGACTCTGCTGGCTTCTCATTTTTGCTCTTACCTACCACAAATCCACCACGATAGAGAAATTCCATGAAGTTCCGAGGTAAAGACCGAACTTGTTGCACGAGTTCCGTCAAATTGCCATATAGAGTCCACAAAAGGAGTCCATGTCAAATTTGAAGTCCCCCATTTTAGGTCACGGTCATCGCCGTTCTCCAGCTCCCGTCTCGATTGAATTCAGGGCTTGCTTCAAACTCTAGGTCGCACCCCACCCAGTCGGACATTTGGTGTCCAAGACAGGAAACCAGTTCAATCCTATAGTCTAGAAGCTGCTAGTAACCAAGGGATCGCTACTAGGAGCAAGAAGCCTAGTAGCTCCTGGCCTTACTACTAGGAACAAGAAGCTGCTAGTAACAAAGGGCACCGCTACTAGTAACAAGTGCGAAGCAAGCTTGTTCTAGTTGAGGGGGAGCCTCAACGAGAACCAGCACAGCCTGGAAAGTCAGTCCTTTGATCAGATGTGCTTAGAAACCCTCGAACTGCCAATCAGCGGTTTTGATTATTTATGTCAATAATCCTGGCTGCTGTAGGGGCACAACCATCGGGGCTCTGTGCTTTTTTATGCGAGTAACTTGTCCCTTAACCACCCCTACTTAAAACAAAATCATCGAATTTGACTCATTTTGGTGGATGAATCCAACAACTCCACACCACAGACATTGCATCCGATCGCCCACCCGGTCTTTCTTTGTTCCATCCGTGCCTCGAAGAGGCTTCGAGCCCAGGCGGGTCCTGAAGAAGGGAGGTGCATCACCAAAGCGGTCAACGATAGAATGGCCAAAGCATGCCAAAGCTGCCCCATTAAAGACAAAGGAATACTAATACTATGGATCCCACATGGTAGCAGTATTGTGAACATCCCGTACTTTCATGCAATGTAAGGCTTGCTCAAATCCTTGGATGTGTCACAGAGAATGTGGACCTCCAAGTTCAAGACTCCAGTAAAGGCGAGATATTGGGTGGAAGTAATGCTAAATTTTGGCACGCTGGCTGGAGAGGATACTGCTGCCACGCTCTCATACTTCGGAGTTAAAGGAACGTCAAGTCCTCTGCCAAAGCAATGGAGGTGTTGAACTTTCTTTTGTCGCTCACTTTCCAGGCAACTTTCCATTCAGCAAAGAGTCAGCTACTATGCGGCTCACGATCTTGATACCCAGAGGAAGCATTGTCACATATTGTCACGCTTACATTGGGATCCCGAATATTTTAGCTTAAATAGGCTCAAGTCCAACTATGAGCTTCACAAAGCCGCACTTGCCCTATGTTTGTGATCCCTTGCCTTTGTCTTTGCCTTTCTCGTGTGTGGGCAAGGTTGTGGCGTCTCTTAGAGAAACCTGCAATGTGGAGTTTCATAAGACCTTAAAGCCTTAGTCATTGCCGGGCTGGACTTCTGGGATGCCCTCCATGTACAGACTAGCCGAAGGCTTATCAAACACGCCACTTAACACTGCCCTGATTGGGAGAGATGCTGTTCTGATCACGGCCTTCAAAACAGGAGACACATTCTCCAAAAAATTGACTCGTGCACACAACACTAAACATGCTCGCCCTATCTCGTCCTGTTGGACCGTGGCACAGCAAATGCTTATGAACCGTGACTCAGGGTCACCTCCCGCAACACAAACATAGTTCATGAGTCTTCTGAATGATATATATTATATTGTATTACTGTATGGGTATGTATGGGTTCTGACTGGGCTTTCTTTCCATCCCCACATTTCTTTCATACTTCCATTTTGCAAACTCAACAACTATAAATCACCGGGCCAGAGCCAGCCGCAGCCCAAACGCGCGCCGGTTCCGACAGGCTTTTGTTTCAGCCTTGGCCATGGCGGTTCTTCTTGAAGGGGCTGAGGCCATAGGATCCACCCCAAACGGAGGAACAGCCACTGCTGTTGGCAATCACCATGCCTGGGAGGAAAGATCAGAACAAGGAAAAGACATCATTCGGCTCGGACTGTCCGACGGATTGCTACTGGTTCCCCAAAGTTTCTACCAAAACCGATGGCGGGTTGATGCAAAGTCAATAGCCAGTCGTTTGAAAATCAAGATGGCCAAGATGGCCAAGGAACATGAGGCTTCATGCAGGGAGTTTTTGACCGCATTCGGCATTAGTATTGAAACATCTTCCTTCTGCGCAGAAAGACCTGGGTGTGAATCCAGCTCTAAGAATAAGGAAGGATTCAAGGTATTTCAAGGTCACCCAAAGGAAGGACTGCCGTTAAAGGCCAATCCTGAAGTCAAGTGCAACCCGAACCCGATTCTGAAATGCTGGGTAATGGGTAGTGTTCTTAGAATATGCTGGGTAATGGGTAATCTGAAAGAACAGATTCTGATCAACTGACCTGTGCCGCGGAAATGATCTGCGCATCCACAAGTGTCTTAAACTTATAAGTACGAACCCAACACATAGGACATAGGATTTATTGGACATTTTGGGCACGGTTGGGCTTCTTCGTAAAGCAGAACTGCGTAAAAGGCATTAAAAGGCCATAGGTCCATCCTTCAATCGTCAACCACCACATCCCACCCAATGGACTATTTTCCCGTCAAGGGGCGATCGCCGAACATCTGCGTCAAAAGCTTCACGTAGGGTGTCTCGCCACACCCGGAGCACGCGCCACCTCGGTCGGTGGATGGCTAGCCATGGATTAGCATCAATGTCTCGGACAGGGCTTCTTCACGGTAAGGCCTCCAACCTACTTGCAATGGCCTCCAACCTGAATGCAAAGAGCATTCAAAGGGCTGGACTGTGGCTGTGGGTGCACTACTTTTGAGGTGAAGTCTCGCGTCTCACAGGAGAGCTACAGTCTGATCATGCTATGGCCACAGGTTGTCGAAATACTTGCACAACATATTGAACTTCGACATTGCCCTTTGACCTGCAAAGCTTGAAGGAGACCAGCTCCCGCACCCACCTGGCAACCCCCCAATGGATGTTGCATGGATCAAACATGAATTAGTAACAAGAAGCTACTAGTAAGAAGTGCATCGCTACTAGTAACAAGTGCCTTACTACTAGTAACAAGAAGCTATTAGAAACAAGTGCCTTACTACTAGGAGCAAGAAGCTACTAGGGGCTCCTGGCCTTACTAGTAGTAACAAGAAGCTACTAGACATTGGGCCATGCAACTTGCGCCTCACAGGGCCAAGCAATGCGAAGAAACCACCCAGGCTTAGGGAACGCTTGAAAGTTGCATGGCCGTAAGGGCAGATCACTGCGAGTTGCCACTGTACTCAACAAAACCAACAGTCTGAGATTGTTGTCAGGGTGGTTGAGCCATGAATCGATTGATTGAATCCAAGGATGGAACCATCATAAATCACACCAACCAATACGCTGCTCCCAGCAAACACCACCACACCACCAGTACCATATATATATATAGTACCACCACTATTGCCGGCGCCACTACCACCATGATGACAACCACAAGAACAGCTACATCTCTTGTCGTGACCGCGTCAACACTTTGATTTATGGAGTCTTGCTACAGGTCCCCCAACCACCAACCACAAGCGCAAAGTGCCTGAAAGTCCATCCGTGTCAGCAAAGACCTCCACTTGCACATTTTTGAAGGCCGTCACTGGCACTCGGTTGACTCTGCCGTGATCAGCAGCCTCACTGGTAGAATAGCTTACAATATAGGAGACCTCACAATCCCAGAAGATCAGACCTCACGATTCCCGGAAGATGCCACAGGATGAAGCAAAAAGAAACAACCTGCAGAATCCTACAGATTCCAATTCGTTCTACGAAAATCACACAAGCGGGTCGACTGGCGGTGTGAACCGCTCGACTCGATCGTTGCCAGGACGCTGAACTCGATCAAAGGCTCCTGAAACTGGGATCCTTAGAGCATGTCAGGAAGTGGCCGAAGGTCATCCCTTCTCACCTCCAATCTGAAAAGGCACAAACTCTAGCAATCTTTTGATAATTTGATAATATCATGACAACCAAAACACCCGCAGTCACACAACCATCATCAACCATCACTTCCAATTTAAAGAGAAACAAGAACCAGCTTTCTGGAGCTTTCTGCGAGTGGATCACGGGCAACCCTATATCCTCCACCCACAACCCCGACATGGAACCCCTGGCACAAAGTTCGCACTCCAGGGTTCCTTTCACCGATCCTCGCTCCATCAAGTTGTCCTTCACAGAGACCTGATGCTCATTTTTGGGTGCACCAAGCGCGCACACCGCAATTATCTTCTGTGAAGGTCCGAGCAGGACCTCAGACGTTTTTTTGGGCACCCGCAAAAAAAAAGTAAAACACTCTATTAGCTTGTTCCATGTTTTTCCTACAGGTTCCTTTAACCTACAACTCGCAAGCCATGTTTGATTCGTGTGGCCAGTCTTGTGAACATGAAGGTTGGGAAAATCCTTGGGGCTTACTACAAGCGAAGGCTTCCACTGGGTTCCATGTCCTTCCCTGTCAGCCTTCTTCGAGGACTTTACAAAGTTGTAGGATGTTGTAGGTACAGGCTTCGGAAACTCTATAGGGCTGCTTCCTACACCACCCGAGATCACTTGATATATCTGTTCCGGACACACAATCCACTGGAATACCAAAGTAGTGAGGAGTGAGTAAGGGATTTGCATGGGATGTCTGGTGGTTTGTTCTAGATTCTAGTTCCGTATTCCTTATCACAATTAGGACTGGAGACACTATGTGCTCAAATGCTCAAAAAGGCAAACAGGGAAAGACAATCCATCTGAAGAGTGTCAGGACATGTCAGGAACCTTTTACTCCACACGACAGGTATGTGGTCAACCCCATGGAAGAGCTTCGAAGGGCCCTGTCATTTGCATCGAATGAACCAAAACGTTGTCAGTTGAAACAACTCCGGAGAGCTGAAGAAGTCACTCTGAGAAGATCCAAAAATGGCGCCCAGAACTCGCTATAGTCGGTCCATTTACCATTTTGTTTTGAGGGGTAGGCAGCTATAGAAGAGGTAAGCTATAGTAGCTATATAGTGGCTATAGTATTCATTAGGTACTGGGCGCTACTAGCGAACGGACGCAGGATAGCACTCGCGCTAATTAATCGATTTATTTTTAGGAACATTATGAAACTGTTTGTCCAGAAAAGTACCAACACGAGGGCACCCGGATGCTTGAGCTTATGTTAAATTGTGAGACATCACTGACATGAACAAACAAAACTGAGGCAATTGTGGCAAACATGTACTAGAAAGAAACTTGTAAAATTGAGGTAGATTGAGAGTATTTGAGAGACATCTTATCTGCGTCTGCAGTCTTGAAACATCAACACACTTGGCCCGAGGCTGTGTTGAGGGAGTACTCCCAGTGATCATTGAACTTCTCCTGCGCAAACCCGCGGGCCATCCTTGAGTTGTCGCTCATACATAGCTCTTGACGAAACAAGAATAACGTCTGCCCAGCTGATCGCAAGTTGTACCGTCATGGGATATGTACCAGCCATGGCCCCCCGTGACAAGATCGAGTTGGCTTGGAGCATTGGGTCCTAGGCTGACTTGAAGTCATTATCAAGCCTCCAAATGAGATGGCAGGGACCAAGCTTTAGAAAATGCAAGGCACCCAGACGCACTTCGCGTGGACATGGAACTTCAACTCATCCGTGATTGCCCTCCCTGCAAGGAGCCCCTATATGTATATATATATATATATAAGCCCTTAACAAACAAGAACCAAGTAGAGTAGCAAGACTTCGTCTCTTGGATGCATGTTGGCCACTGCTGGGGGCTGCGCTGCAGCAGTAAAGGCCGCATGAGTTGATATAAAATGCAATCAAATGCAATGGTTCCGATGGTTCATTGTTTTCTGAGAGGGAAGGAGGCAGGGAGGAGACATCTACTCAGCCCTCAACCTCTCTTGTCCAATCTTCTTCCAGCTACCTGCTCAGCCAGGAAAGTGTTTTTGAACAGTTTGAGTCCTGACAATGGGAATGGATAGGGGTTAAGGGGGGTGGTAACCTACTTAAAAACAAGGCAGTTTGTCCATCTACTTCCATTTGGCTCCTGTGAGTGAGCAGCCGATTCCATGATCAACGCATCATCTGGGCACATCCTCACATGAGTCAGCGACCAGCTGAAGTCTGAAGTTTGGACCTCCGGTTGTGGGTGGTCATGTCCCCCCAAAACGAACAAAGCATCCTGTCAAAGGAAGTACACTTACGATTCTTCCGGGGCTACACCCAAAGGCGGACCTGTCAAAATAAGTTGCTTACCAAAACGACATCAACCACTTCAATACAGGAGCCCCTTGTGTGGATCGACTCGGCTTCCAATGAACAAACAAAAGAAAACACTTCAGCGCATGTGTGACCAAGCTGCTCCACACAGACAGCGCAGCCGGTGCAATCAAAGGGAGCCAATTGGATGGTGTAGTTGAGGCCTCACAACACGTGGCTGAAAGTAACATGAACCCGTAAACATGCTTTATCTCTTGTCACATTGTGTTGATGTTGAGCGAGGAACCTTAGTCCTCCATCAATTTGCAGGGTCCATGATGTTCCAACGATGTTCCATGTTGAATTCTTCAGGGGTGAAATATATCGAGCTGGGCCTTTCCCAAGTGGCTACTGGCTGTTGAACTGTGTCTCACGAAGTGTCTGCCTTTCCCGACCAGCGCCTGCTAAACACTTATCACCCTGGTTCCTACATTGAGACACTGTCGAGATGCTCAAGGCCACTTTTCTCCTACACCTTCTGTCTGAGAACGTCCAGCAAGTCCTCCAAGAATAAGAACAGTTGCCTGTGATGAACTACATGCGAATTACACTTGAGTGGTGGCGTCCATGATCTTCTTTTCCAAACACACTCGACCCCGAAGACTGATCGATCCAAATTCCCGTCGGCCGGGCCTCGCCTGCGAGGTCGCCGCCCTTGGCCTTCCGGGCCACGAAGCCTTCGGGCGCTGCTTCCATCTCCTGACACGAAGAAAGTCAGGAAGGGAGGCTATTTAGCTCGTCACCAACATACCCAAAGAGCTGCTTTGTTTTCACAGCTTGGAAATCTAGTTCATGGGTGCATGTTGGACAACTTGAGCTTTCATGATAAATATTACCCTGAATCATCAGTCATTCAAAGCTTCCGGCTTTCAGAAGAGTAGTGCCTGAAGCCGTTGTGGAGCTACTCTTAGCTTTGCCAGTTGGCTTTCTTTGACTGGGAAGATCCAGTTGGGTAAGGTCGATACGGCAACCAAATGATGCCCAGTCAGATGTCAACTTTGGTTCGTAAAAGCAAACATATCAGGCATAGGGAGCCAAAGATCTGGGGAGTGACGAGCTCTGAATTATATGTATCATATCCTATCATATCATATCATATATATTGTATAATCATATACGAGTATAATCTATAGTCTATACTCTATCCAGTAAACCCAATTAGCAACAAAGCCACCAAAATACGGTCGAGCCACTATCCCCAAGGGCCGTGCATTTACACACTCACACGCCTTGCGGGTTCGATCTGAGCTTCGAGTTCGTCGTGGGCTCGAGACGGGAGATCAAAGGGTACGAGAATGGTGTTCCTTTGGAAGGGTCGTTTGATCCTTCATGGACTAAGCTCATGCATTAAGCAGTTTGATATTTTTGAGGTCTCCAGACTCCACATCCTTCCACCAGGGCAGCATCACCAGCCTTCTTGTCCAACAGGAAGGGTCTCACCTCGCTTTGGAAACATTTCTTGAAGCAAAGGTCTGTTCAGGAGGATGGGTCGGGTTGGTGTGTCTGATTTATCCAAGTAGAAATAGAAGGAGCACATGTGAGGTAGCTCATGCAGTGCCTGTTGTCAAGGGGTGCTTGCATGTTCATGTCCGACTCCCAACATAATTGACCAAGTCCGATTGGACAAAACAAGCGCATTTTTACAACAAAACATGTTCTATCATTTTCTGATCTGATGATGAAAACATATTCTTGTTAGTGCAAGCACCTTCACTATGTATTATCATATACTGTATTGCATTTATGATATATATATATACCAACTATATTTGTGGTATATAACATAGTTGAACACGTGGATCCCTTAATGCCTTCACAAGCTTCACAAACATGGAACATGGACGATTGATCACCTGAGTTCCATGGCGACGATTCACTTCTGGCTGTGTGCGCCACAGGTCCTATCCAGGTTCAGACCCTACACATGAAGTCAGAAATTGAAGGGTCTGTGGAGACATGTTCACTTTTGCCCTTACGAACCTGGGCCATGGTTGGGTCCCTCATCAAAGGACGGAGGGGATTTCATGCGCAAGTGTCCCCCCAAAAAGGCTGATGGCCTCAATCTGGCCCACTGAAACCTATCGTAAGAATATGCGAGAATCAGCCTTCAACCAAGCCCTTGTCAGTTCATGAAGGAATGCAACCAGCATGTTCTCAATGCTGGTAGCACCTCCCAGTTTAGGTTGATATCTCGAATCTAGGAGGCTCTTTAATATGGGGTTGTTACCGGCATGGTCACAAGAGACTCTCCTGCAAGTAGAACAGCGAGTTTGTGGGGCTAGTTCTCAAACGCACTCCCCAACGTCCCGGGATCTTCTTTCATCAAATCCTCGTCCAAGCTGCCTACTCTTCCCTATGGGGAGTTATACACGACGGACAAGCACTGGTTTTAGGAGCAGCTCAAACACAAATGACAAAAACAAACTTAGGCGTTTGGGACTAGGATCACCACATCCTAACCATAAAGCCTTATGTATTATTGGTATTTGATTTTTAGTCAGTTTGAGGAGGAAAACTCAATGCAAGTTGTGGACCCTGCTTCAGTTGACTTGGGTGATCCGCCCAAACTGCTTTCCTTTGCAGATATATCTGGGGCCTGCATGAACATGGCCTTTGAGGATTTCCAGGTCTCACAAGACAGTTACATTAATCATGTGGAACCATGTCATTGAACCATGTCGAACCTAAGGGTCTGGTGGGGGCGCTATTGCAGGCTATGATGGTCTTCCGAGGCTACGATGTAGGATTCCCACTTCAAAGTCTTTTGGAGGACGGAAACAGAAGTGGCTGTGTCCGTACACCCCGATAGATTATGTTCAACGAACCTACAGGGCTTTGGGCCCTTTGGGCATTTCTTTGACATGCTTGCAGCTTGCACATGCAGGAACTTGAGCCCCCCCGGGCTCCTTTCGAAGTGCCATTGTATGTGATGTGCAACACAAGACCGGCCCGGTCTCAAACAAACCAAGTGACTACTGCGTGTGGGCAAACGACACTGCAAAGGTTGCACTGGGTGCACTTGTCAGGAAGCCAAACCTAGGGGTAGCCGCTACAGTAGGCCACAGTTCGCCTCCTCTTGACAGCCCGAATGTGCAACTGGAGAGTGCGATCAAAACAAGGGCACCAAAACCATCAAAAAGAACACACGACGACAACTGGCCATAATTCTGGGAGTGTGAGTACTGCATAGCAGTTGGCCAGACAAAAAAATGTCTCAAAACTCTGAGCATGGAATGTGCGGGAGCTATCCTGCAACACCATAGGCGGATATATGAAAGCAGTCCTGTGACTTCTAAAATGTGGAGAACTTGTCATGAATGACAGCATCAAAATGCCTTAAATATATTCAAGAGTTATGTTGGATGTTGTGCCAATACGGAACACTTGATACAAATCCTCAGTTGTGGCTCAAATGTTTTGCAGACTATAAGGGGAACATCGCCTTCAGGTTTCATGCGACACTGTGAGGGTGTTTTGCAGCACATGCTGTTTGATCCTCAGGCGTTTCCACCTGCAAAAACATGTCGATTTCAGTCATCACCTTACAACATCAGATAACACTTACTGTACAACAATTTACAATCTGCAAGATCTCCAACATCACAAACGTCAACAACTCACCTCACCAAGGTGCAGGGACTTCATCCGCCAAAGCTCTCTTCTGATGCGTGGATTGGCCAATGGGGGTCTCACCACCTGGACTGAAGGCACTTACCTGGGCGTCTGTCGGACCAAATCTGGTCTCGGCACAAGCTTTTCGGTCGTTTTTTGGGACATCTTTTCGAAATCTGCGCGATCCCAACTTGCGACGACTTGGATCTGCATGGGACCTGATTTCTCAAAGGTGGAATTTCAGGCTACATTGCGTCTACACCCCAGGGCCCAGGCTACAAAAAGGAGAATCTCTCCATTTCTACCACCTCTTCCAACCAGAAACCCTCCTGGGAGTAAACCCTGAGCTTCCTTGATTCTGTAACAATCTGCGATTACAACTCCAACATACTCTGCCTGAAGCATTCACATCGAAGACTCTCAACAGCCCAGTACAAGCCTTAGCTAAAGCCTTTGTGAGTGGAGCACAAGCTACAAACCAATCCAAACATCCTCAGTAGGTACTTGCAACCTCAGTGTGTTGGGTATTTTGTGCAACTCGGGATGTGTGGTGAACTCCCCGGAAGCCCATGGCCCACATGCGCATTGTCTCAGCTGCTGCGAGCTCGTCGGCAGTTCGTGAGTCTATGCTCCTGGGCGGAACAACCCGGGGTGCTGGGAGTTTCAATTGTAGCCGAGAAACACACTGACTTAGAAACAATGGTTCAATGGCTTTGCAAAATGGCACGAAGTCACCCGCCACACTAAATGAAACTTGATACAAGAGACCTTGTGTGATCTGTAGCACCGCTGTATCATCAATCAATTGCTCTGAAATCACTGTACTTTGACCCATGAGGGTGGCTGGTGGTACCCATGCTGGCCCTACTGGGAATCCCTACAATAGTCAACTGAACGGGTGGATTTATTGGATCATTCGCAGGAATCTAGAATCTAGAAGCTGGATGAGGCTGGATGGCTGCCAGTGCATGAGGGGTCCTAAAAATCATATAGTTGTTTGCACAATAACTCAAAGTGCTACCCCTTCCACCAAATGTGATACCTCTGCCAGGGTTCGGTTTGAGGTCCCTTTGTCTGTGGAGGCCCTGCAGTTGTTAGAGGAACAATATGACTAGCGTATGACTATATTTATTGTAGAGATTAAGAAGTGTGTGTATTTAAACGTTGAACATCGAGGACCATCTCTGACAAAATGGTTGGAACCAAAGAACCTTGAGCAAAACACCAGGAAGTTCTGAGAGAGTTTCGACCTGGAGACGGCCATGCAGGAGCACTGAAAGGCAAAGAACGTGTCCAAACCCTTTCTCTCCCCCTCCAAGCCTAGTCAAGTCTTGGTCCAAAGTGGATGATCTACTACACAAGTGGCCTTTCCTCCCAAAAACACACACATGCAATTTGTGAAATCGGCATCACTCACTGATTGCATTGCCGCGGCGAGATGCTTTAGGAAGGTGGAGCTGAACTCATCAAGCTGTGGGCTGTAGGGGCTAGCGGAAGGGTTCATCCTCCTCAAGGAGTGCTCGTTGTCCTGGAGTCAGGCGGTCTAGATTCCTCTCTAAATCATTTTTGGCATACAAAGGCATGAATGGTTGTTTAAAGGTGGACAGGATGATAATATAAATATGACTATTACTATCAAAATCAATCAAACATAGTAGCCAAACAACACTGCAGCATCATAAACATGCAATCTTGTAGGTCTTTGTGAATTGTGTGATTGTATGATAAACATGATAGTGTGCAAATCACACCTAGTTGATTACATCAAAGAAGGTAGGACTGGATTACAAGTACAAAAGTCATGGCCTCCAAACAAAACACATACCGCTAAGAAGTGTTGAACAGGAGCATCAATGTTTGTTGCCTGGGTGGTCGCAGGACATTCCTATTGCATTTCTTAGGGCTCTTTATTGGAACACCCCCCATTGACACGACCCCTTGCAACATGAACCAAAGTTGGTGATGCACAGAGCCATTGAATTTCCTTATTGCATCCTCGCACTGGCACTTGCGATCCGCGATCCTCCCACTAGCGATTTGCATGTGTGTTTCACCTTTGAGATCTGGTGCGGGCTGCCCTTGGCACAAACGCCCTCCCTCTTGCCGCCACACTCTCGCTATTCCAAAACACAACGCATTTTCCTGAGCAAAGATCCTTCAAAAGCTTAAGGCGGTAAAAAACAAATACCAAGCAGAACGTAGGCATTGAGGCAAAATGGAGATGAACTGTTTATTGCCCCTCCAATGAAACATGACTGTTTGGCTTCCCTTCACAGCGAGATTTGACACGCTGTCGGCACGCGTGCATGGCCATGTGTGCTGTTGTGCAACTTGCATTGCACAAAAAAGAAACAGCAGCCAAATCATTGAGTGCAGATTGGTCTGACATAAGGCCAATCGGTCGCTTTACATCCACAGCAAGGAGCATACATTACTGAACCAATGTTTACAGGTGAAACCTACGTCTGACATCAATACATAACATATATCAATCCTTTGTTTCATGATGCTTCATGGTAAGCACGTGTGACGAAACAGTGGACTTCTCCATGTGCATGACCTGCATGTTGGGTGTGGGATCTAAGGCCCAACTCTGCGATGTCGTCCTCTGCAGTGAGCCAGGAGGATGGGTAGTTGATCCTGACGGCAAATCCAAGAGATGCTTGTTGCTTGCTAGCTCAGGCCCTGTTTCTGCCCACGGACCGGAGAAAGACGTAGTGGTTCCACTTACGGGGTCTGTAGTACATAGAATCCAGGATGATCGGTGACCTACTCATCATGGCTGCTAATCGCTTGCGTCTGCAAGAAGTGGCTCAGGCTATTGGAGTAAGACGGAACATGAGCACAAGAGAACGGGGGCCGGTGTGAGTCCCCACCTTTTACAAGGACGCTACTAGGGGCTCCTGCCACGGCTTCTAGGAACAGGAAGCTACTCGGGCTCCTGGCCTTACTACTAGGAGCAAGGACGCTACTAGGAACAAGTGCATCGCTTCTACTAACAAGTGCCTTATTAGTAGTAACAAGAAGCTACTAGGGGCTCCTGGCCTTACTACTAGGAGCAAGGATGCTTCTAGGGGCTCCTGTTGAGATTGTCCGGCGCCGCTGCCAAGGCGGCCTTGTTGGAGCGGACGATCTCCGGCGACCTGAACGTGGCTGGCGAACAGGACCGAAAGTGTTTTGAGACCTTCATTTGCACCCTCGTCAGTGAACACTTGCAGGGGGCCAGCTTGGCCTCCAAGACAATGGCCAAAAGGATGTTTTTTTGGAATGAACAGGCAACTGCATGTAACTGCATGGCTAGCACATGCTAGCACACTAGCGAGGCACCATGAACTCCTGGACTCAGCTGGGTCTTCCGCACTTCTTGCCGTACATTCGATCGATCGCCCCTTCCAACTGCTCCTTCGCATCCTGCACCGTATGTGAGCGCCACAATTGAGACTCAGGATGGAAGGGTGCCGGACCACAACCATCCGCAAATGGGTTGTCCAATGGAGACTTTAAGTCTTTATATAGAGGCCTGTAGGGTAATCCATTGGTGATTTAATGGATGGCTTAGGAGGAACTTGCAAAACAAATGCTTCTCTTTCGGAACAGTTGTTTCTTTCCCCGACTGACCGACCCAACTTCTGTCCTCCGGCGGCAGGATGCCAGAGAGGTTGAAGAAGGTCGCCTGGGGAGATATGGAAGGTCTCACACCACAACGCCAGAGTTGGAAGAATGGACATGGAAGAGTCTGGAAGAGGCTAAGAATTGCAAAATGGAAATTCAGCCTGCTTTTGGGGTGTTGTGGATGGGTTTCCACCTTGACACCAACATGGAGCCAAAGAATGGATCCATGGAAAAAGTGGCATGTGGAGGTCCATCTTGGTGGGATCAAACATGATAGAACCCACCTGAGTGAAACACATTTGAGATAAACACTTGACCACATCAACCAATTCTACAGTGCTTGGTGAGCCACATGGTTGTCTGGTCATTGAAAGGTCTCTACGCTGGGCAAGAACATCTTCCAAAAAACAACAATGAAACAGTAAGGGAAAACCTGTCCAAAGACTGACTGATATGTATGATTTCTTATTCAAGCCAAACCCAAATACCAAACAAGGGGTTGCACAGTAACACCTGCCTCCGTCGGTCTTTCGTAGATTCTCCAAAAAAAGCCTTGGTGAAGGGACCCAGACCCCCTCTCAACCGACATAGTCTGGATCATCCTTAGCATGCTGAAGTGCTTTTTATCCTTTCAATGTGCCGAGATCGTGACCTATTTCACTTGGTTTATAGGGGTTCATGATGCTTTCTCACATGTGTGATTTTCAATCCAAAGACCAACCACCCATGCCCACCCGCTCCGCGGCCCGCTCCTGCATGACCTGATTGATACGCTTGGCAGGCAAACCTGACAACGGAGTCGTGGACCTAGTGACTTAGAGCGTGTGACGGCACAACTCCTGGTGTAAGTCTTTCTATATATTGATGGGCAACTGTCTATTCCTGGGTCCTACGAATATGATAGTTCCAACTGGAACCGTTTACTCACCGGGTAGTGGTGGTGGAAATCTAGGAGTGGTCTGGATATCAAAGGGAGTTCTTCTCCAAGACCAGTTCCGGATGTACTTCCACACCAAAGATGATGCACGTCAGGAGTAATTACCTGAGCCTACAATCCCTCAGAAATTATCAGAATATACGCAGGAATCCAACAAAAATTAGTAGCGGAACCTACAGGAGAAAGGACAAACGAGCTCAAGCAACTTCAATAGCATGTACATAATATTCTTAATGGAAGTACGTAGTTCGTGGCAATGCTTTCATCCATGTATTTATTGCAAACTGTCGACATGCGGTACGCACTCTGCTTGCCCAAGGTTAAGCTGAGGAGTGGTCATGGCAACAATCGAACACTGGTGGGGTCTTAGACAATATCAAAGGAACATCAAACTGGACAGTGTCCTTTCTTTCATGCTGTTGGGCATTGGCTTGACGCGGATTTGACGGTCAGCACAACTAAGCATGTGCGAATGGCATTGATAACAACACCTTTTGGCTTGCACTGTTTTCATACACCTGATCTGAAGCACGGAGCATGTGCAGCATATCTATTCATTCGTCCTACATGAGGGCATCATGAGGGGATCTCTGGCTCAGCCCATTTGGCTAGTCTTTCAAACTGCATTGAAGCCACATGATTCAGACTTGCAGCCGGTGAACAATAAACGACACTCTATAACAAAGCTCCCCTGTGCACATCACGTCTTTTGGAGACGACTATTCAGGCAAACTTCCCGGCTCAATGATCACCTAGGAAGCAATTAGCAACCAAACCTCCCAACAACAAGAAGCTACTAGTAACAAAGGGCATCGCTACTAGGAACAAGGGCGCTATGAGTAGCAAGAAGCTATTAGTAGCTCCTGGCATTGCGCTTTGGGAGCCAAACATCCTGCATTCAACACACAAGAAACCTTGCTCCCATTGACGTGAGCCCACGGTCATTGCCTACGGAGCTGGCCACTGCGTGGGCGTCAATGGTATAGAGCTCCACCTGTTTCCGCTCTATGGTGACTCGATGGCCGGGGCAAGGTCCTACTAGGACGCTACTAGGCGCTCCTGGCATCGCTATTAGGAGCAAGGACGCTACTAGTAACTAGTAACAAGGAGTATGGAATTTGCACCTCCGGGACCTTCGTACTTTTTTGCAATGAGACCGTCACGTGAACAACCAGAAGCATTGATGTTCAAAAACGATTGGGCAAAGGCTACATAGTCTCTAGTGAATTGATGTAAATCATAGTTAACAATATGAAAGAAAGCGCAGAAATTGCACTGAATTGCTTTGAAGGACAAAGCGGTTGTAAAGCAAGCATATTCCAAAGCAAAACAAAACCATTTATTGAAACCTGAAGAATGTGCATATGCGTTGGGTATATCGTATACCCCATTCCCTGTAATAGTGGCTGATGATGGTTAGCAAAGGCCTTTCTCCAATATAGTGGTAATTGTTGAGTCGACTGTCACAGGCAATAGGACACCCAAACATACGCTTTGTTTAGCTTGCAACAATGATAGTCTGAAAAAAAAACAACAGGAGCCACAACTACACTACACCTGGCTTCTTCAAGACTTACTGCAACACGTTCAACATGAGATAACAAGTATAAACTCTAAACAAACTGAAATTCATTTCAATGAAACAATTTCATATCAAACACTACTTAACAATTCTACGATATGGCAGCCTGGCATGCAAGACCAATGAACTGATTGAACAACACCAAAAACAAGTTCAGAATAACAAACAACAAACTAACAAAAAATGATCCAAAGATACAAGAACATAGAACAAATTCCCAGGGTTGCAGGAGGAGGCCCATCGGCAGCAAGTTCGTTGAAAAGACGTATCTTAAGGTTCATGTATACTAGGATCTTAGTGGCCACTCCATTGAACAAGTCTATTGTTTAGCTTGAAGTTGGTTTCCAGGACTGGTGAACTCTCCTCATGATTATTATTGATTGCTGATCAAATACCCCGAACCAATACCAAAAGACAGCATAAGAGGATCAAGGGGGGCTTCCAATAGGGAGAAATTGACATCAAACAAATCAGCAATCTGCCCAAACACGCAGGAGTGTTGGCTCCTTCTGTGCTCCTGCATGCTTTTCGAAGTGTTCGCCATCGCACCTTCTTCTCAGCGATGGCTTGGCGGAGCTTTGCCGGGAACTCTTGATCCAACTCCTGTCACGACATGGCATCACGATTCGTGTCATGACATGGAACGAGTCCCTGAGATGGGGACTTCTCCCCCAAGTTGCAACATGTGCAATGATGTGGGGCTCAGTTCTGAAATGTGCGAGCGAAAGCTGAACTGCCACAAGACGTTTGGAGCAATAGGTCTACAACTAGCATGTGCACTTGCACAAAAAACTGGATACAGGAAGCCCTCACAGGCGAAGCCTGGGATGCAAATAGTCAATTAGTCTCAACTCGCAAAGCTCCAAAGGGGGGTTGAGAGAAGTCAGTGAAAACGTGGACTTCGACCTTGAGAGAAGTCAGTGAAAACGTGGACTTCGACCACTTTTGACAGCTAAGCTTCAACACTTTGCTCTCCAGTTGGCCTTTGGTCCACTTGCAAGGTTTAGCGCAACCATGTGCAACCCGGATCAGGACAAATATATATATATATATAGGTAATTCATTCACCAATCAATGGCAGCACGCGCAACCACCAAAGAGTGACTCAGTTCCTCAATGTGCTCGAACTTTATCACCCATTTAAAACCCAAGAGCTTCAGTGCTGAACGCAAAGGTGGCAGCACTTAAAATCAAGCAACTGCTTGAAACTACCCACGTCCCGTGGCATACCTCACAAATAGTTGGCGATGTCAAGTGTGGTTCTAAAAGCGACACGCTAAATCCATGCCCTGATCGTTGGGTCATGTCGTGCTCATTTTGTTCCGTCCTCCACCGTCTTCCAGGGGCAATTGACCACAAAGGCCGCGCCCTCGCGAGCCTATGACGTAGGAGGAAAGAGCATGACGTAGCGGTGTAGCGCAATGTAGAAAACAGTTCTTCAATATATGCACAATCTTTTCATTGAATTCTGCTAGTGGAATCACAGTTCCTTACACACTAGACCACACTAGTAGTTATTGAAATTATTGTGAAGACTATCCAATAACTGGCCTCGCCCTGCCAACTCTGGCCTCGCCTTTGAGAGCATGTCAAACTTGCTGAGGAAAGACCTTGGCGGATCTGAAAAAAACGCATGAACAAGCATGTGAATCGGATCGGCAGATCGGCCACCGGGAGACCCCACAGCTCTCGCTAAATCGGTCTGTGGATCCGGATGCCGACATATATGACATCAATTGACATCATATGACATCCATGCGCAACTGACTGGACATCCAGCTCCAAAGACAAGCTCAACCTGTCTTCTAATGTTTGTTTTTCACCGGAACTCCTGGCATAATCACTTCTGCCGACACAAACATATTGAGTAGCACTGCACCGAATTTAGTTTGGATGGAAATCAACCGGCAGTGGGCAGGTTATTGTCACATTCTTGTTCTTTTGAATGCACAGGGTTCTCTCCATTGATCCAGCCGGGGGGGCAGCAGGTCCAAAGACCACACCGTGAAGAACGGACACGAGCATTTTCCAAAGCCTTTCTTTTTCAGCAAACGGTCGGAAGGAACTGCTTACGCAGGTACTTTCGCTTTGCATACCCAAACAAGTAAGGACAAACTTTCTGTACCACAACGCAATCTTGCCCACTCGTAATATAATCACATGGACAAACGAAGCTTACAAAGACTTTTCTTACTACGCTTATAGTGCTTCAGCAAAAAACTAATTGCTTTCGCGGCCTTGCACGATTCAGTTTTTTGATGTTTTTTGCTTTGGCACAGTCCCCTTATGTGCAGGCCCTATCTAAACAAGAACACTGAGGCTTTGGACGATGCTCATTTGGGGACCTTGGATCTGTGGATTACTTGAGGCCTTGGATCTGGTCGTCTGTTACATCCACAATTGTGAGCCATCCTGCAGCCAAAGGCAGAATCAAGGCTATCACCATAAGCTTCTACTTTTCTTTGTTCTGTTGGAGCCCAGACTTCCATTGCCTATAAGGCAACCCTAAAAACTGAAGAGAACATAGCTATCAGTAAAGCAATCTTCTACACCATTGGATTGTGGGTTCACTGGGTTCACCTTAGTGTTCAATTGTAACGCAGCTTTTAACTTTTTTGGATGCTGGGACCTGGACACGTATCCTTGGCTGCTTTGAAAAGGCACCAGAGGGTTTTGGGCTTGCCTCAATCTAGCATTGATTCCTTTGAGGTTGAAATGGGCTGAATCAACCCGGCAAACCAAAGAACAAGTCCAACAACGCGAGCCAAAACTTCGTACCTGTGAAGCATGGTGAACAGCTGGAAGAACACATCCACCGGGTGGGATTCTCTTTCCTCGAGAAAAAATAACACTCATCTGCACCAAGGCACGTGTGATGGCATGCGACATAGTCAGCTCCCGGGCTACTCTCGATCTCATATTCCGAGCGAATGGGCTTGGGCCCAAAGCCTTGATGCGTTCGTCTTTCATCAAAGAAAGCGTCCGACAGCTTCAGGCAAACAAGCTTGTTGTGTGTTCTCTTGTTTTCTTGTCCACTTCTTACCTTCCGTTCATTCCTTTCCCTGCAAGAAACCCAGAGGTCCAACACCGGGGTCGCTTCAGGGATTGTTGGTGAACCTATGGGAACACTGAGCTTGTGCCCCAGAAAAAGACCTACCACCATGCAGTTCCTAGGAGCCCAAGGTCCCGTGGTGAACACATGTGTACATCCAATATCACCAGCAGAATTGTCCATTGTGGAAAGTGTTACCCCAAGGCAGCAAAATGAAGGACCCATATCAAGAATGAAGATCTTCTGCTGGACAAATCGAAGCCCAAACAACCCTGTATGGGCACATGTGAACACATACAGTGGTAAATAATATGATAAATCTTGAAAGGATGTTTCCTCGAACACTATGGCCAGTCATAATGCTCAGCTCTGTTTTTACTTTACGGAGGGCATTACGCACACTGACTCATAATCTCCACACACACGAACATTAACATCGACATAATATAGGTTCAATATACTCTGTGCATCTCGGTGCATTGTTGGGACTCAGAACAAACGATTGGCGGGCATAAAGCGGACTGAGACCTGCAATGTGTCCGTTTCTCCCATGTTTTCCTGGGTTCTATATCCTAGGGGGGTCACCTCATTGTAAGTTACAATGTCCTAATACTAATGTACCTGACAAATTGTAACTTACAGTTGTGAGGCTTCTGAATTGGTCAGACATCCAATAGGCCAGAAAAATGTAACTTACATTTATCCAAAAATGTAAGTTACATTTTTTAGGCTTCATTGAATAGTATGGCATTTCTCAACATGTCAAAGCAGAATCAGCAGTTTTTTTCTGCGCCAGGAAAAGTCGGAGTTTACATTTTGGAGGCTATCATAGAACATCGTAGAACGAAGGAACATGTAAGTGGAAACTGTCTAGGTGTGTTTGTTTGCAGTTTCCACCACCTTTGCTCACTGTAAAGCTGTTTCCAATTACATGTTTGAAGCTATCATAGAACATCATAGAACAAGGAACATGTAAGTAAACAATGTTCAGGTATGTCTTCCTGCAGTTTCCACCACTTTTGTTCACTGTCAAGCTGTTTCAACTTACATTTTTGCAGGCAATCAAAGGACATCTTAGAACATCTTAGAGGTAATTAACACAGAGACAGGGGGAGAGGAGAACAAATTTGAAGAAGTGCATCAAACATAAGTCCTCAAAACTCTTCAAACATCAAGGAAAGACATGCCAAATAGCTAACAATTAACAAGATGGAACCCACGAACCCGAATGCAAACACGATCGAAAAACTAATATATCCAAATGACACTCTTGTAGGACACTCTTGTGGGACTCTCTTCTGGGACACTCTTGTAGGACACTCTTGTAGGACACTCTGGTAGGACACTCTTGTAGGAAACTCTTGTGGGACACTCTTGTAGGACACTCTTGTGGGATACTCCTGTAGGACACTCTTAAGGGACACTCTTGTGAGACACTCTAGTGGGATACTGTTGTGGGACAGTCTTGTAGGACACTCTTGTGGGCCACTCTTGCAGGAAACTCTTGTGGGACACTCTTGTAGGACACTCTGGTGGGACACTCTTGTGGGACACTCTTGTAGGACACTCTTGTGGGATACTCCTGTAGGACACTCTTAAGGGCAACTCTTGTGAGACACTCTAGTGGGACACTCTTGTGAGACACTCTTGTAGAACACTCTTGTGGGTCACTTGCAGGACACTCTTGTGGGACACTCTTACACGACACTCTTGTAGGACACTGTTGTGGGACACTTTGTAGGACACTCTTGTAGGAAACTCTTGTGGGACACTCTTGTGGGACACTCTTGCGGGACACTCTTATAGGAAACTCTTGTGGGACACTCTTGTGGGACACTCTTGAACGACACTCTTGTAGGACACTCTTTTGGGTCACTCTTGTAGGAAACTCTTGTGGGACACTCTTGTAGGACACTCTTGTGGGACACTCTTGTGGGACACTCTTGTGGGACACTCTTGTGGGACACTCTTGTGGGACACTCTGGTGGGACACTCTTGTGGGACACTCTTGTAGGACACTCTTGTGGGATACTCCTGTAGGACACTCTTAAGGGCAACTCTTGTGAGACACTCTAGCGGGACACTGTTGTGGGACAGTCACGTAGGACACTCTTTTGGGACACTCTTGTAGGACACTCTTGTGGGACACTCTTCTGGGACACTCTTGTAGGACACTCTTGTAGGACACTCTTGTGGGACACTCTTGTGGGACACTCTTGTAGGACACTCTTGTAGGACACTCTTGTGGGTCACTCTTGTGGGAAACTCTTGTGGGACACTCTTGTAGGACACTCTTGTGGGACACTCTGTGGGACACTCTTGTTACAAAGTCGCCAGTGCTCGCCTGCATTTCGCGCGCTCGACGCGCACGATCTCCGCAGAGGGTTGCGCGGGCACCGGACAAATCGCACTCTCGCCTGCATTTCGCGCACTCGGCACGCACGATCTCCGCAGAGGGTTGCGCGCGCATGGGACAAATCGCACTCTCGCCTGCATTTCGCGCACTCGACACGCACGATCTCCGGAGAGGGTTGCGCGCGCATGGGACAAATCGCACTCTCGCCTGCATTTCGCACACTCGACACGCACGATCTCCGCAGAGGGTTGCGCGTCAAGTCTCCAATACGAGCGTTTCGTACGAGACTTCCTCAAAAACTCACACGTCAAAGTCAGCAAAACGAGCGTTTCGTACGAGACTTCCTCCAAAAGTCAAGCGGAAACACCCATCAAAGCACACACATCACGCAGCCCTGCCAAGCAGTTTCGCGATTCCAGCCCCTCCAAACAACATCCGCTCACACGCCAATCCCAATGTGACAGCGACATTCACCTCTACCACAACTCACAACCTCACGATTCCCTGCGCCTGCCACGAATCTTTCCCCATCCACACGTCTGACGCGCACAAAGTACTGCGCCTGCCACGAAATGTCACCTCCCTCACACCTCGCAGCCTCACGATTCCCTGCGCCTGCCATGAGAATCGCACTTCCACGCTTCAAAGCCCGCACGAAGTCCTGCGCCTGCCACGAAAAGTGTCAATATCATCGCATGTGAGCTTCAACAAAATTTGCACCACACCACACGTTTGGAATGATTTCGACCCGTTCAGAGCACACTCCCATCCTCCAAAATCGCCATTTCAGCTGAGACTTGTCACGAAAACAGAGCTTCGATGCCACACCCTGAAACGCAAATCCCAATGGCACGGCCACATCCAACACCCCAAAAACACGACTCTCCAAACACTAATCCCAATGGCACTGCGCAGCAAACTGCGGATCTCACAAAACGCTGCGCCTGTGCAGCGAAATGCATCACGTTTCTTGCGCAACATGTCGGTGTCATGCAAATCACAATGGAATAGCGGCGCAAGCTGACACGTGACACATCCATGCAAAGTCACTTGCAAAAGCTTCCCCCAATGGCAGCAAATTTGAGACGCGACGACGACGACAGACGACGACAGACGACGAGAGACGACGAGAGACGACGACAGACGACGAGAGACGACGAGAGACGACGA